TCTTGAACAAAAGCTCATCTTTCAAACCGGCAGTCTAAATCCCACAGGGATCAACGAACGCTTTTCATTCCACTAATTTATTCTTGTTTTTCTCGTTGCCATGTTCCCACCAATAACGCAGCTCCATTTTCTGCCTTTAAAAGCACACACAACCCACAATTCCTCTATTCGCTCCGACGAAGGGCTAACGCTCGAAACGTCAGCTTTTGTAATTGTTACGGTGGCCAATATACCATTTCAACTTTGTTGATATAACCAAATTATTTCGATACTCCCACCGACGCAGCCCCAAACAGTTTCTTTCGAAACTATCAGCCTTTATAAATTTAAACTTGCAAAGTGCTATCGACAACTTAGTTTCTTAAATAATTTTCTTTAATCTTATTTAGTGCATTTGTCAAGCAGCTGGTTGAAGAACTGGACTTGTTTGAATTGGAGTGTAAACTGGACATGTTCAGGGTGAGAAAAGATTGTATCCTGTTTGTTGTCATGTTTGTTTTTGTCTTTGTCGACTTTACTTAGCAGGAGAGAATCGTAGCTTCCAACGCTTTGCTTCCTGTTAGGAGTGAGTCACAGCACACTGGAAGAAACGTTTGTTTTCTAATTTCCGCCCTTCGAATTTTTGCTCTGTCCACCCTGATCACTCACTAAGTTTCTTTGTTTCTGTTTTCAGAGCATGTTCTTTGTGACTGGTGATTTCTCTGTAACTTTCATCACAGCTGACCAGCTGAGAATTGAATTGAAGGCCGGCGGGCTCAACCAGAATCAGGAGGATCACGTAATAGGGCATATCCTTCAGTCCAGTAATACTGGAGAGGTAAGAAACCGTCAATTAGATTCGCACTCGAGAGACTTTAGCATAGAGGTAGGAGACGAGATGGCTTTATTAAGGGGACTGGGTTCGAGCCTAAGACAGGGGCACTATGTCGTGTTCGTGAGAAAAACACTTTGCTCTCAGCTCGTCGCTCTCCACCTGAAAGGGTAAAACAAGAGTAGAGGCATCCCGTTCAGGTAGATGCAATTCTCTTGTGTTGCTTCATGTTATGAAAACTGGAACAAGCTAAAGCACTGACTATAGAAATCTTTTTTGCGATTTTTTCAGGTTTTCGTGACTCAGCCTGTGTTGGATTCTCAAATTTGTCTCACACATTAGGGTTTTGTGCAGTCACTTTTGTTTACGCTGCATATTGCCAACGCATCTTTTATCTCCCAAGTTTGGCTACGATTTTTTGAATGACAACAGCGTTATCTTTGCAAGCCTTTCATTGTTAAAATGCTATGATGTGAAATTCATTATAATTATAATAATTATAATAATTATAATAATTATAATAATTATCAGTAATAAGAAGAGGACTCTTGGATTGATCACTTTAGTCTGTGACATGCTTCTAACGTGAACTTTCGTTTTTATTCCAGATTTCATTCCTGGATTATATGGCGTATCTTCCACTATTTCTGTCCATCCACCAAAATATCTGTGACAACGCCCTTGACATGTCACGCAACAAGTATCAACGTAAGAGTACAACGTAACAACAAGTGACACTAATGGAGGATGTATCGTGACATCTACTAAAACATTTGTGACAGCACACTCGGTACCGGTATGTCACGCGACGACCTTATCATACTGTGTGACATCAAGTAGCCCCCATGGATAAACTCTTGACATGTCACGTCATGCAACAAGTATCAACTTGACTTCAAGTACACTTGATTTATGAGGGATACATCACGGGTCCATGGCAGAATTAAAGCGAATCTGACTTTTCCTACAAGTCTTAAATTCAATGGTGAAAAAAGACACTGTGCTAAGCAATATGTTGTTAGTTATCATGGTATCACGAACTATCAAGACACAAACTGAGATTATTGTCAACAACAATACAAAATAAACTAAAAAACAGTTTTTAATAGGAATACAACCTCGAAATATCTCATTTTATAAGTACGCGTGCCACTTTGGTCACAAAGCGCGCAAGTAAGATGGCCGGCTTTCCTCTCACGTTCTGCTCGCACTCCCCTCGCAACCTCCCAGCGCCCTCCTCACCGGAAAGAAAAAAAAAATGACGCATTGTTATGATTGTTAAGTGTCGCTCGTTTTGCAGTAAAATTTTCCAGCCACCTTTGCACCTTCCCACTCCCACCACACCCCCAACATGAAAAGGAAGCGTAGGGTGCATGTGAGGATGTGAAGGAGGGAGGGGTGGGATAGGGGGATTGGCAAAGATAGCCTTTTCAAACGACAAATACACTTCATAGTGGAGTTATCTACATAGCAGTTGTGGTGTTTATCCAGCTGAGGAGGAGGGAGAGAGAGGTTCCAAATACTGTTTGATGGCTGTTTCTGCGGCGATTCAATAAAATTCTCTGCGGGAACTCTTAAATTTTTTTTTCACCCCTTTCTCGTTCAATGATTATTCAATAATACCGAGAGGAAATAATAGAAACCTATGGAGTTCGTAAAAGTTTTCCTAAATCCTTGTAGATGTCCTATGGTTATATATTTACGATCGAATTCAACAATTCTATTTCTTTTACTCAAACTTTGTACTGATCAGAGTAGTTAACGCTTAACCAAAAAACTTGGCAATAGTCGTAGTGTGCAGCACTTATGCAAAGATAACTTGTTGAGTTCTGATTTCAATGGTTCAAGATCAAATCCTTTATTCCGAGTTTTCTTTCTCCGACGCTTTTTTTCCCTTTGATTTCATAGCAGTATTCTGTCAAGGATTTTAACATTTGTGGACGACTTTTGGGGGAATTATTAAGTTGAAACAGTGCTTCAACTTAATTACAGAGAATATGTTTGCACTATTACTTTAGCCATTGAATCAAGCATGAAAAAACAAGGCATTTTTTTTACCAGCTACTTGCTTTGTAAATAGCGACAGAACACAGAAGTTAGTTCACTGGTTTCTGCGCCTTTTTAGCTTTTTTTTATCATCATCATCATCATCATTATTATTATCAATATCATATTCTATTTCCTGCTTCAGTCGGAATGTGAGTAGGTTTTTTTTGTGCAGTGGCTTAATATCTTATGCAACTAATACTCTTACCTGATCTATTTTCTTAATTTCTCTTAATCCTATAGTTCCTCATTTTTTCGACAGCGAAAATAGGTTTTTTTTTTTATCCCAGTAAACTTTACATAAACTTTCTTTTCTGGTCGGATGAAGTGTTAATTGTTTTGATTTGGAGAAAGAGTTATACTTGTTTGAACAGGGAAAAAGTTGTCACCCAAAAATCTCTTTTATTTCTTTCGGATTTTGATTTGCATATCAAAAATGCGTGCAAACGAAAATCGCGCCCAACCTACAACATATTATTCAGTGATAGGTTTGTTTTTTCAATCCATATTCATGTTTAACCGTACAATGTGCGTCAAGCCAAGCAGGTCGTGGACCGGCGAGGACGTGTTACTATTCAGGAAAAGTTTAACCAAGGCTGTGCTTGATGTTCGAATGGCTTGAAGCCGCGACATAACTAAAAGTTATTTCAGCAGGTTGGTTTTGTTTTTGTGGAAATTGTCGGTTTAATTTCATTCCCGTAACTGCATGCATGCGCAGGAGAAATACCGAACCAAAGTTTCAGAACAAGTGCGATCTCCACGACGGAGTGTCATTGCCTTCAAAAATTTCGTTCATTTTGTTTGGAATTTACAACCGTTAGACCTCTGGTATTTTGAGTGACATATTTAACTCCGAATTTATCACGTTACGAAACGAAACTTGTCCGCGTAATATCAGATACAACTCAACGACGTGTGTTTGAATTTTGAAGTAATTGGCTCTCTATAGCAGCAAGGGGAATACTGGCAGTTATACTTTGCAAAAGCCTTGTTCAAATTTACTCAAATAAATTTGGCTTTTTCCGTAAGAAATTGTTGTGTTTTTTTGCGTAGAAGTTTGAAAGTTGGCCAAAAGACCTTATATTGTTTTGCTTATTTATGTTTGCAGGAAAATTGAGATTAAGAAGCGGAGGAGAGGATAAAAAATTCAGGATGACGAGCTGGAATCGCATCGAGAAGAAACTCTGCAAAGATAAGAATTTATGAATTAATATTGTTGAAGTAATTTTTCAATGATTCTGATATTGCAGATTTACTGAAGGGTCGAGTCTTGGGTGATCATATCTGATTCAAAATATTTAGCCAAAGAATATTTCGGTTGTATATCGAAAGTCATAGCCTCGGTTTTGCCATACCTCATTTTATGGTTGGTCTAGGAAACTCGCAGAAAAGATTAAAAAATTCAAGGAAAACTAAAACTGACCAATTTTCACGCGCTTGTCGTACTTTGATTTAAAAAAAGTTAACGGACGCAAAGATTTGTTAATTAGCATTTCATCCTATTAACAATACACTTCGCAAAACAAGTTAAATTTGGCACAAATCGGTTTGCTCAAGCTTGACCTTCATGTAGGCTGCAGTGATTGTTACCGTGGTCAAGTCTCGACGTCCACATGAGTTAAGGTGTTCTGGTGGGTTTTTTTAAGGTGGCACGGTGAGGAAACAGAAGCCATTTATGAAAAAAATGGGCAAGACTTCCATATAACCCCTTACATTAATTATGCTTAGAGTGTTGCAAAGAAACCTTTATATTTAGTCTTTATGAAATGAATGCATGATTAACCTATGGGGTTATATGGAACTCTGTCCAAATGGTTTGGCTTAGGTTGGAAAAGCATCCACACCAACAACGACTAGACAAAATAAATGCTATGTGAACAGATGTTTTGGCCATTGTTACCAAAGCAACAATTTGCTTTTAATTTGCTTCTTTATTTGCTGGAAAACAAGGATTCCTTGACGAAAATGTTTTTAGTGGGTAACATTTTGTCAACACAATCGTCAGTGCCACCTCAAAAGAATCACCTAAATTTCTGACTACAATATTAATCAGTCTTGCAATGGGCAAGAAAACACTGGCAACCGAAACTTATAATTGGAATTAAAAAAGGAACAACTTTTTTCCTTTTTTGTACAAGAATAGCTATTTACGTAGACTTGTTGAGAACGTACAACGCCACATGGACGATACATTACCGCCATACACGATGATTTAATTGACGCACTCCACGACCACTTTTACGAACGTACACCAACATATAACTTGTCAGAGAGGTTGAAGACTAAGACTGCATTTAAAACAACAAGGAATGGCGGTTCACAGATAATGACGAATACTCCTGACAAATGTTGTGAACGGATCGTTGCACAGCTCGACCTCACTAAAACGAACGTAACTGTACTTTAAACTGCACATGACAATTTTGACCTTGTAAACGTGATTTTTTCGTTTACAATGACGATGCGATGAGAAAAAAACAATCACTTCACAAATCTAATGCAATTTTGCTGTATATGACTTCAATCTCGACAACATTTACTGATTAAAGCTTAAGACAGAGACTAAGCTAGCTGATAGCAGACGAGTGCTTTGTTTGCCAAGCCTCCTACATTGAAGAGATTGACTGGAACCGAAAAGACGAGAATGACTGAACGTAAACAACGACGAGAAATGCCTTGTAATGTGACGATTACTGTGTGACTTTGCCCTGTTTAACCTACAGCATCCACAATTTAAATATAAAAAAACTGACTCCCTAAAAGCAGGTTCCTAGACAGGTGATATGAAATACAGGCACCATGAACTGCTTAGTTATTGATCATTAACAAACAAATTTCACCGACAAATCAAAACTGACCAATCACAAACTGACGAACGCCACTCCCCACATTCGACTCGACGAGTTAAACTGAATCATGACTGTACATGTAGAACAGCTTTTGAAAAAATTGAATTGATCTTTTTGAAAATTTTTTTTCCGGAAAGCCCATTTGCCAACGTTCTCTTGTCCTTTTGCAAGTTTCAGTCAATAAAACCTATGACTTGCTCAGATGGCTCTGAAAAATGATTTATGGTTTTACAGACAACAAAAGTGACAACTTAGACAATGTAAGATCAAAGAACCTCAGACCTCTTGTGCAAAGTTAATAATTGAACTACACAGAACTGTAATTTGGCTTGAAATCACCAGATCCGTGGTTTTTTTTCCGGAATGTTTTTACACAACTCGAGGGATCTACGAAAGCTGCAATTTTCTGCTCTTTCACTTCAAAATCAACTCAGCAGTAGTAACCTTTTTAAGACAAAAAATTGTCCGTCACTTTTTATCCAAACAAGAAAGTGAAATTCAGGATTTAGGCTGTTTGTGAAAGTTTCTAGCAAATGAAAAGTAATGTTTGATTAAGTTTGTCTGAAATTGATTGCAAACTTGAAATCTAAAAATACCTAAATTTTTTGAAGATTTTGGTCTGTGTAACCAGCTGCAAGGTTTTTTTTTTCGCCTTTTGGAGTAACTTTGTTCTTAAAATATTCAACATTGACATTTTCTTTGAGCCAGTCATTGGGTTTTATTGTCGTATTTTTTATTTAGAAAGACCTTTTACAGCCTTCGATTGATGTAACACAGGACTGTAAGGAAATTTTTTTGATAATGAAACCCAGATTGCTAAATTTATCGGTGCGAAATAAAACCATTCAACTTAATTCTTGTTTCAATTATTTAGAAAAGTATATGAGGCCTAGAAATTATCTGATCGTGTTAACTCTTGATACCTAAAAAAAAAAACAAACAAACAAAACAAGACAAAACAGACGTTTTCAGGAAGCATCTAAAAGGAAACAGTTGAGAAATATTAACCAGTTTGTGCTGTACATCGAACCGAAAAAGCGATGGCTGGAAAAGGTCTTGTAATGTGTTTACATCTTGTGCAAAAACTTTCAAAAGTCTAGAGAATTTTACTTATTGCTTGAAAATTTACTTCATCAAGAAGTAAGGCAAGAATCTAGTGAAGTTTTACTAGAAATTTGAGAAACGGGCTGTTTGGAGATTACTTCTTTTAAAATTTTGCGTAAGATTTAAGGGAAGCCACTTTGAATTTTATGTGGAAAATATTGTCAGGGGAAACTCTGTGCAAATTCAACCAAATTTTCCCCGCCAAAAAACTTACTATATATACCAACAAATTTTATTTCACACATTTGTAATCACTTAATTGAATTTATTTTAACTAATTAAAGAATTGCAAGACAAAAAACTGTGTATGTTAAAATATTTATTCAATGAAATAAAGATAGTAAAAGAGAACTACATTACTTTGTTTATTGACTTTATTCCATTTAATAAATAGAAGAAATGAAAATACAACACAAATGAAAGATTAACTATTATTCAAATAATGGCATAGAAAAATTAAAACGGCACATGCGTATTTTGGGCACCGTATTTTTCTAAGTTTTTGGCGGGAAAAATCGCCACATCTGAACAGATGTCACTTAAAAAAAATTGGGCGCATGCTTTTGTAAGTTTTTCGGCGGGAAAATTAAAAATTTAGAATAGGTGTTACCAAGCAAAAACGTGAGCAAAAATAACGTTTTTATTATGACTATTTGTGCTAAAGTCATCTATCAACTGAATGAATTTCTTCGAATGAGTTAAAAAAATAGTTGCGACTTGAAGTCATTTTGAAACTACAGCGAAAAAGGACGCAAAAAAAACCATTCAATTCCATTTGATTTTGTCTTCCATAATTAACCTGTTTGCGAGTAAATTGTGAGAGTGAACTATACGATCTGCTACGATTCGTTTCGAAACAAATCACGTTTGAAGGATAATCTACCAGTTAACTTTGTGTTCTGCCTCTGCTATAAACTTGTCTGTCGCTTGTGTGACTGTTTTTCGTTCTTGCGCTTCGAGTCTTGATTTGAAACTTCTCACAAGCAAGCTGCAAAGAAGCAAGAGCAAAAAATTATTGTTGACTCTGTGTAACGACACAACAAATGAATTTTTCGAAATGATTACATGAAAGCTTCGTGTGAATACAAATTGAAAAACACTGTTACCAAATGGAGAAAAGTATTTGCAGGGATTTGAAGGAGTTTGCATTCATTTTAAAAGTGCACTAAAATTTACAACAAAAGTCTGAAATGATTTCATTTATTATCCAACTGTGCTTCGTGGAGTACAAATTAAATAATGCGCGAGACGAGTACAAATATCACGCGATATTTTTACTCCAGAAAAATCCGCGAAACTCGCCCGCACTGAAATAAAAATTTGGCCTGTTGGATAATAAATCTCTTATTAAACGTTTTGTTATGTAGTATTGACGAGCCCGTAGGGCCTTACCTGAGCTATGGGTTAATAGTTTGGGGCCATATAATATGGGGCCATATTGTATGGGCCATATAGTTTGGGGCCAGGCGTATAAATCATATCTTGAGAAGCTTCTAAAGCTGCAAAAACGAGCTCTACGTTTTATCTATTTTTCTGACCGCAATCAGCATGCAATTCCTCTATTTTCCGATGCCGTTATTTTACCGCTACAATTTTCTTATTATGAACTTACAGCTAACCTGATGTTTGATGTTTGTTAGATTTTTCCTAATTTTGGTTTCCCTGTTCTACGTAGAAGCTAGTGTCACGAGACCTGTTTTCCATATTTGGTATTGTACACGAGGTTATCTGCTTTCGATTAAAAACAGTTCTTCCGCCATCTTGAACTGGTTACTGTATTCCTGGCCTTTTATTCGGAATACACAATATTAGACACAAAAACGCGCCTAGAAGCATTCGAGACCTGTTTCAAGACATTTCTAATATTCACCCCTATAACATCCGATCCTCTGCTTCGCACAACTTCTACACACAAAGCTCTAGGCTCTCTATTCAATTGAACTCGTTTTCTAGAATTGGCACAAAAATTTGGAACGAGGTGCCTCTTACATTAAGGAATCTCTCAAAATATGACTTTAAGTGAAGAGAAAAATTAAAAGAGTACTTATCAATATTCTGTCTTTTGAAGACTCCCATCTCGACATACGAAGCATCATTCAAAAGGTCAAACTTTCTTAAGGTTTTTAATGTATTTCTAGAATAACAAGTATAGCCTTATTTGTACTATTTTTGTATTTTTGTGGTGTCTTTGTTTCTATACCTACTCTTTTTATTTAACTTCCTAATTTCTGTAAACCTCTATACTTACTCTCTCTAATTACTTCCCTGATTTCTGTACACTTGTATACCAACTTTTTTTCTTAGTTAAGACATGACCCACCTAGATTAGCTAGCTACCTGTGGGCATATCCAAACTGTTAAAATAGTCATTAGAAATTAGAATAAATAAAGGTTGTTGTTGTTATAAAAACAATAATACTTATATTTTCTGTTCCAAAAAGGAAAAAATTCTGTAGGGAGCTCTCTTGTAATTGGCTAATCGTTTTAGTAATCATGACGACACCAGTATCCTCACGCGTGAAAGATCTTATATTGCTGAATCGGGATTTCATCAATTATGGCTCAAAGTGCAAGTAAAGAACTTCAAATCATTTCTTATCTCCACAACCTACAGACCCCCGAATACTTCACTCTCTTGTTTCGAGTCTGAATTCAGCGACGCGTTGACCTCAGCTATTTCAATGAATATTCTCATCTTTATTTTGGGGGACCTGAATTGTAATCTCCTCAATGCCAACGACATGCATCGGATCAAAATCTCTCCTGGATTTCTGCAACAGCTTTAATCTAACTCAGCTGATTGAAAGACCCACCAGGATAACAGAGACTTCAAAGTCCTTAATTGACGTAATACTCGCTTCTAACAAGAGCCTCATTAGTAAAACAAACGTCTTTGCCAACTCGATAAGCGATCACGATCTCATTGTTGCATCTTTAAACCTCAAGAAACCGAGACCGAGACCTACGTATATATCCACCAGAAGCTTCAAAAACTTTAAAAAGGATGCATTCTTGGACAACATATCAAATGCCCCTTGGTCTTTAGTAGACGTCTTTGACGATACCGATGATAAAATCGACACTTTTAATTCCTTATTTCATCAAATCCTCGATCAACATGCACCCGTCAAAACTGTCAAACTGAGAGCTAGACCAAACCCTTTTATAGATGATAACATTCGTGGTTTAATGAGGTCAAGAGATCACTGGAAACGACTAGCTAGACAAATAAACGACTCAGCTATGTGGTCAGGCTATCGCAATTTCAGAAGGGAAGTCAAGCGGGAAATACGGCTCGCACAAAGGGAATTCGTTGAAAATCGAATAAGACAGAATCCCAACAATACTAGAAGCATCTGGAAAACAATCAGGTCGTGTATTCCAAAACAGCCCATGAATGTCAAGAGTTTTACTAAAGATGATCAAACCGTAGCAAACGAATTCAACAAGTTCTTTAGCTCGGTTGGGAAATCTACGATAGAAAAAATTAAACTTCTCGCTAACAAATTTAATTATGCGCCCGCCTCAGCCATCTTCATTCCGAGAAACTATCCAACTTCAGAACAGTTCTCTTTCACCACGGTGGAATACTCTCAGGTTACAGACATTGTTAATTCAAAACCTAACAACAAAGCTCCAGGAATTGACAAAGTACCACCTCGTATAATTAAAGAGAGTTTGCAGACCATCGCTCCTTGTATCACCTCCATCATTAATGCCTCTCTTAAAAGTGGTGTTTTTCCAGCTTCTTGGAAAACTGCCGAAGTTTTTCCAATTCTCAAGAATGGAGATCATGATGAAGCTAACAACTATAGACAAATATCGCAGCTCCCAAAACTCTCTAAGATATGCGAAAGAGCGGCATTAAATCAGCTGTCTTCATATTTAACAACTAATCAAAGAATATCAACGAAACAAAGCGGCAACAGAAGATGGCATTCAACCGAAACAGCACTGATCTCTACTTCTAATTTTATTCTTCGCGCGATCGACCAGAAGAAAATCACTGCAGTCGTATATCTTGATATGAGTAAAGCCTTTGACACTACTTGATGATCAACCACGTGATTCTTCTAAAGAAACTAAAGGACATTGGTTTATCATCTTCTGCACTTCAATGGTTCGAAAGCTATCTTTCTCAAAGAAAACAAGCAGTCCGCATCAACTCTATATTATCTGATAGATTACCAGTAGTCAGTGGTGTACCGCAAGGGAGTGTACTAGGAGCATTATTATTTATCATTAACATTTATCATTT